TTACATCTAATTAATCCTAATTCCTTCAGCAATGGACTCACCTATGGTCATTAAAATATTTTCAGCTCTTTTCTGTCAGATTCATCCCTRTGCTGCCACAGAGTTTCTGTGCTTCCACAGCTGGCCATTTGACAACTTGTCAATTGACTGCTCAGGCACTTACAGAAAGTGATCTCTGCACRGATTTAAATTATTTATGATGGCAAAGTAGCTGAAAATTAGTGCCCCCTTACCAGGCAAAAGAAAATGTGACTTAACGCTTCACTAATTGCCAGGAAGGCTTGTGCTGGAAGTAGTCATTAACGAGACAATTCAATATTAGGCAATCATAGAATTTTTATGTGTTCACAGTCTGCTRGTGACTAATGATGTTTGCCCTGTCCTAGCACAGACTGTAGAATCACCAATCTTTGGAAGTTCAGCAGCTGTCCATTAKTAGGGGCAGTGAGAAGAACAGGTGTGATGGATGAAAAGAGTTGAATTTKTCTCACTTGGCAAATCTCAGATCATCAGTTGTAGTCAACTGGCATTTCATCCTAAAAAAAAAGTGGAAAGGGGTCTCAGCAGGCAGCTTGGGAGCTTGTGGAGATGTGGCTGWGTAACTCCAAGATGTCTGCACTGAGGTGAGATGGATCTTTCTGGCTGAATGCTAACTGGCTTTATCAGGTCTTTGTAAATTATTTTGTGAATCTCCACACTGTTTGCTACCTTCATTCCCCAGTGTTGGGAACTGTCAACTGTAAATCCCAGTTTGAGAAGTGGGGATTTTTCTCACACTGGTGAAGAAAGTTTGTTGTATTTTTTTGGCGCTCTTCACGTGTCCTAATCTCCGTGTTTACTCCTCATTGGCTGTTCTGCATCCACAGTGTGGTTGACTGCAAGGAGGGTGTAGGGTCTGTGTCCCTGGGCAGTCTCAGAGGAGCTCCATGGGATGGTGTTAATCAGCCCTGGGAGAGGTTCCTTGTGAGCTGCTGTAAGAAACTCAAAGGGCTGAAAAAGGTGTAATATGTGTTTTCCTTATCAGAGGCATTTTGGGGGTTGCCTTTTACCTTGCAAATTAATGAAAGACTGAGAGTCTTGGGGTTGTTCAGCCTGGAGAAGCAAAGGCTCCAGGGAGATCATAGAGCACCTTCCATTGCCTGAAGGGGCTCCAAGAGAGCTGGAGAGGRGCTGGGGACAAGAGCATGRACTGATAGGACAATGGCTTTAACCTGACAGAGGGAAGATTTAGACTCGATATTAAGAATAAATTTTTCCCCATGAGGGTGGGGARGCACTGGCACAGGTTTCCCAGAGAAGCTGTGGCTGCCCCATCCCTAGGAGTGTTCMAGGCCAGGCTGGATGGGATTTGGAGCAACCTGAGAGAGTGGAAGGTGTCCCTGCCCGTGGCAGGGGGTTGGAACTAAATGATCTTGAGGATCCCTTCCAACACAAACCATTCGATGATTCTATGAATACAACATTTAATTTCTTTTTTATTGTTACAGTTTTGTACAGGCTTATGAGAGAAGAGCTGAGGGGCTTAAATTAAAACAAATTAAAACAAGTAGGATCCAAATGGGTTGAGACAGTCAAGAATTGGAACAGGYTGCTCAAAGAGATTGTGCCGACTCTGTTCTTGGAGAATTGACTGGATAAAGCCCTGACCTCTTTACTGAGGAACATTCCAAATTCTCTTTCAGTCTGAATTATTCTCTGTTTACAAGGTTACATGTATTAATATACACGTGTTATTTTGATACATATCTGARGAGCCATTAAGAAATTGTCAGTTTGGGTTGATTTAACCATCTGCCTCAAAATACAGAAACGTTTTTGAGGAAAGAATAGAACAGCTCTAYGGAGTCTTGGATCTGCTGTTATTTACATCTTTTTTTATTCAGTTCTAGAAAAATTTGACTTCTCTGGAAATTCAGATGCAGAAAGATGCAACACAGCCCAAGTGTAGCATAGTAGCGATCTTCCAAGCTAAAGGAGAAAAGAAACAGAAAGAAATAAGGTAATCCTGACCACTTTGGTCACATTAATTATTTTGGTCTTGCTGAACACAGTAATAGTCAATATTTTCCACCTCTTTTTTATCAMTGATGACAAAGCCATAAAAGCCAATAATTGAGAACAACTTTTATTCATTAACTGGAATTAAACTGGGATGATGGTAATAGCAATGAAATGAGTGAAAATATATTTGACAATAACCTTGTTTCCTGGTCTGTTCAAAATGAGTATTCCTAAAAAGAAAAACACATTTGGAAGAAATCATCCTTGCTTTGGAAACCGATTCAGCTACATTTTGATATTTGAGAAATAATTAATACAAAATATATTTGACAGTTTAGAGAAAAAATCATAAATGCTTGTTTGTGTTTTTAACTTTAAATCATTATTCTTTTATCATGGTGGTTTTATTATCAGTGCCTGGTTTTCAGGCATTCCAACGATAAGAAAACTTTTTAATTTCAAGAGATATTAAATATTACACTTTTGTAGGTTTTTCAAGCCTTAAGAAAAGGCCGAAACAGTACTTTGTTGTTTCTGTGAAAGAAAGGGCAAAAATGGTTTTGCATTAACATTTTTTTCAAATTCCTCTTTTGATATCTGGTCTCATAAAAACTGAATAGATCTCAACTGTACTTTGCGTGCTGTCCTCCCTGAGATTTTGAGTGACATAAATTATTCTGGGGATGGTTTTAAAGATGCTTGAATGAATCAGGAACTTTCTTTTCTTTTTTTTTTTTTTTTTTTTT